AAATTCACAATATAATAAATCGTAGCAGTTGTTTCTTCTTTATTATCATGTTGTTTAGAACAAAAAGCCTTATCTTAAAGTTGGATACCAACTTTTTCTTTACAAAAAGTATATTTAGAAATACAGAGTGATTCCATATAAGTTTGGATGTGTGTAATAGACGACCGAACCGATTTCGGTTAATTAACCATTCTCAAGCTTACACTGAGATATTACAAATTAATTTAACAAGGCTTAGATCCTACAGTAGTTAAGATTGGTATATAATTGATGTGATGGGGCTCATACTAAATTAAAATTAAGAACTTAACTTAAATAGTGGACAACTGTTGGTCTTCGAAGAGGCAAAGGGTGTCTTTATAACAGTGATGTTCCGGAGCAAACTATTCTAGAAATTTTCCAATCGTTTTAAGATAACAACTAATCTTAAAGTATTGTCAGTGGTAATGAAATTGTCATTAAAATGTTTCAAAGAGATACTTGAATCCTACTGATCTCATTTACATGTTTTGTCTAGAGGGCCTATTATTTACACCACAAGTTACGTACCTTAAAATTAATCACACCATATACGATTGGAACATTTCTGGAATAGTTTGCTCTAAAACATCATCGTCATTATGACTCACACCCTTTCCTTTCATTCAGATTAAATGGAACCAATAACTGTCCACAATTAACAGGTTAAGTGCCAGAGAAGCCAACTAACTGCGTGAGTCCGACGTTGACTGACATGTTCGTCAACAAATATTGTGTGGCTCCATGTGGCAGTGTTTTGGGCTCGGCCAGATGGTCTAGAGCTCTGTGGCCTATGCTTCTGAGAGGCCAACCCGGACTCACATGGCTCATTAAATTCATAACAGGTTTGCTATTTTATAAGAAAAAGTGATCGGCCTATGGGGATATTAAAATCTTCACTATTGTTAGATTCTTAATTTTAATTTGATATAAGCCTCACCATATTAATTATATACCACTGTTTTATCTACTATAGAACTTAAAATTTATTCTGTATCTATATCTATAAGGTTGCTCTACGGCACTTAGGCCTCATTAGGACTATTGTGTACCCTCCTAAATTTCTAGGCGCTCCTTAAGTAGTCATTCCTTTCTTTATTTAAATATCCTTTTTCTTATCATACCAGTATAATGAAAATATATTATTATATTGTAAATTTATGACACTAGAATCAGTAAAGTCGCTTTTGATTTTTAAGAAAAATTTAAGTTATATTAAGCATTTTCTATTGCTAAGTTTTATTAAACAGTGTTTACATTATCATATATTATATAAAAAATAATCATTCTTGTTTTTTTTATTTTTATTTATTTAAAAAAATAATAATATTATTTATATTATAGGAAGATATAAACACATTTGAATCCTAAAAGCTCTAAAAAGTGTAATTTAAATTGACTTATTATCAATTATCATCGTACCTACAGATCCCAATTTTTATTATCAAAAATCTTCGATAATTTATATATTTAAAAAAGTAGGTAACGTAGTTAATAACAAAACATATGTTTAATATCATAATTTTCAAAATAGTTCATATAAAATTATTTACGACGTTGACATAAAAATGAAACAAATTCACTAAAAATAGGCTGCATTCAATCAATTCACAGTTTTATATTTTGAAATTTATCTACCTACAACCTACACACATTTTTTTTACATCCATATTGTTTACTCAAGTCATTTTTCAATTTCACGCAAATTCAGGCTCAACTCGACTGTTTCTGATTTTCGTCTAAAGAAAGTTGGAAAAACTTCGGAATTTTATGACAGACACGTTATTTTGTTCTAGGATTTATTTTTAGAAGAATCTGGCGGAAATAAAAAATTAATTTTACTCGGCATCCGGTTGGAATGATCATATATTATGACCGATTTGCCTTTCGTTATTTCTTATTTTAGAATTGAATATATACAAATTAAAATATTATTAAATAACTGTTAAGTGACTGTTATGAATTACTATAAATAGTAAGTACCTACGTTACTGAGTTTAAGTAAATAGGGGCAAAAAATATATATATTTTTTGGTACATTTTCATTTTAGCAAATATATCAGTCAAGATATTTTAATTAAAACAATGTCTGACCAACCATTAAATGGTATATTGCTACTGAGGTAACAATTGGTTTCCATTTTATTGTTAACTATGTGAAATTAAAAACGCCATTAGACCATTATTTAAAAAAAAAACTTTGTAAAATATTATGCGACTTCAAAACACATAAATTATATCTATCAAAAACTCAATATAACGAACACTTCTTTGAACAATTTTAGCTTTTCAGTGTACTGAGTGGCTAATTGGTTATCAATACTCTGTTTAAAGACAGCTAGTATCTATCTTACAATTAATAGTAACTAATCAAACACCAAAAATATGTGTATAAGTATCATATTTATTAAAACAAATATTATGTCGTACAAGTAAAGAACCACTGCCTAAGTAAACTGATTTTTTTTTACAAAATATAAAGATATAAGCGTGGTGAATTTTTAGCCACATAATCTCTTGTAAGTCCATGATGTTTCTTTTTGAGAACAACTTTTTTCAGACACTTTTGAGAATAATGTTTTTGACACTAACACGATGTAGACAAACGAGAATGGGATGAAAAATGTTCAGTTTAGGAGTAAAAAATACTTTTATTTGACGCTCAGTACACTTCGCGCTACAAAATTCAAGGCCCTCGATGCCTCTTCTATAGGTCGATTCGTCCAGCTCTTTAAAATAGGCGTTTGTGATAGCAACCGGCAAAAATTTGTTTGAATTGCGTCTAAATAACAACAAACACTCTTCTGAAACGTTCATACGAATGTTTTGCTCTGATGTGAAATGTGAGCTTTTCTGTGTCAAAAATTTCGCATATCATGTGATGTGTTCGCTCCTTCGAAATTCCCGCATCCTTAATTAAATTCACCATCTTCAATCGACTTACAGTTACTCAAAACTATTTTGTAGTCCTTCACGTCATATCATCTTCTATGGTAGCCGATTTTATCTTACTTGGGCGCAAGTTTGAAACCCATTTATTGACCGTGGAAAATGATCGAGCAGAAGACTTGCCAAAAGTAAAATTTAGCTCAGCTTTAACTTCCGTGGAACTTAAACCCTTAATGTGAAAATATTTTATGATAGCTCGTAATTCGAGTTTATCTATTATTTAAACTATTCAAATCAAATCGAACTTGGAATTGGATATTTGTTCATAAAACATTTTTTGCTGGAAATGAGCTCGGGAATAGGATATTTAAGTTTGTATAGTACGTCATGCAACACCCTGTATATAAATACATCTAAATTAAATCAATGACATCGCCGGATGTCATTTTGAAACTGTAGAACCGTAGGGCGACCAACAGAAACACTCCAACTCTATCGACCTGCCGCACGCGACAGACGCGACTGAACTAGTGTTAGACTGATCGTTTATAATAGGTTTGTTCCAACTTGGTGTTTGGTACCGTTCTTGTATCATATCAACATCAGTTTATGAACGATGTACTGCGCAAGCCCATCTCTGAATGGTTTTGGAATCGAAAATGAGTTGGAACGCTTTTAAAACTGCTGATGGTTCATAAATAGATAAAATAGAAGAGGAAGAAAATTCTAACCAAACTTTTCGAAAAGAAAATAAAAATAAACTAGTTTTCTATTTTATAATTATGGATGTTATTTATTTTTTATTGTATCATTCTATATTCTATACTAAATAACTTTGTTTATTATCCTTTCTCAATTTACCATTAATTCTAAATCATCGTCACTAGCATCATCATCAAAAAAATCACTGTCTCCTTCTATATCACTCATTTATTTTCCAAATATGATTTATAAACAGTATTTTCTAAATAAAAATGTATATTTTATATCTACCTATCAAAACATAAAAACGCTGTAAATTTGTAGGTTAAGTTAACTAAAACTAACCTCTATCGGCTCTATCAACACATATCGATCGCTTTGCGCAAGTCAGTTCTAACAGTTCCACAAAAATTTGTGAATCGATATGACGGTACAGAAACGATTCCGGAATCATCCATTTTTTAGTTGGAACGAATTCTGTATCAACCCGCACATCGTACAAATTAAGTTAGAACGCTTGGAGTGTAATACGCATGCGCTGTACCGTTACGGAATGGTTATGTATCAAGTTGGAACAAACCTAATAGGTTTGTTTTGATTCACGTTCTAGAATTTTTCCAGAACCATGTGCAGAACTATTGCGCAATGGTCCTTAATTCTGAACAGTTCTGTAACCATTCCACTTGTATTCGAAACCAAAACACTGCCAGAACAATGTAATGTCAAAATGTAAATTATAAATAAAAAGAAGAAATAACACAGGATCAGTGTCTAGGTAAGAAAGAGGCCACATAATATTGTAAAACGTAGATAAATTAAATAATTTATTCGTAAAAAATCTTATGACCCAACATCAACTAATCAACTGCTCCATTCTCATTAGTCATTCGAAAATTACTTGTAAAAATTCCAACACAAAACATGGCCAGGTTCTCAAAAACAAAACTACTTGCAAAAAAGCGCAAGCCCAAACATATCAATTCTGAAACAGTTCTCGATTTAAGCCAGAACTGACGTTACTGTTCGAGAATGGTTATGGAACCATTCCCAAGAAAAACCAAAACACAGAACAGGTTCGGAACACTTCTGGCGAAACTAAAACAGCAAATAAAACGACTGATCAAAATCAAAACCAACTATAGATCAGATTGGAAATTATTCATCCCTTTCTCCCATATTAAAAAGTAAAAAATATGAATATTTGTAAAATGGTGTAGGTACGCGAGCCTTCAAATTTTTTATTTTTTTTTTTTTGTAAATATTAATCCATTTAAACATAATTACCTAATCTTGAAATCCACCTATATTTCGGTGTAGGGAAATTTTATGTAAATATTAATAAATAAACTAATACAAATAAACGCACCACTAAATCATTTAAATCTTTTCAGCACAACGACACAATCCAGTGCAGGACAGGACTTAGCTCACCGACCTTCAAATGATGTTAGGACATGGTACGATGACCTAAATTCGCCTCTAATTCAGGAAGATGGTAACAGCAAGTGCCTTAAATTGAGATTTGACGTTAGCCAGTACGCACCTGAAGAAATCGTAGTCAAAACCGTTGACAACAAACTTTTGGTAAGCATAAAAACATGAATGTAATTATAGCTGTATTACACTATTCAATTTATTGAGTAATTTCTTGCAAAAAAATGAGGTATCAAACAATTTATTGGGCAGGTGATTACACATACCTTATTGGTCAATTGTAGAGGTACCAACATAATAAATATTATACGTTACATTAGTAGTATTGAGATTCAAGGTAACTGCTGGAGTGCGTTTAGAAACCTCGCACGGCGAGTCTGGACCTCATCCTTATAATATGTGTTAAAAATATCCTTAACAAAAATATTAGAATCGCGAAAATGACTTTAGACCGCCCCTGCAACATTTACTTTAGTATCAATCCAGAGCAAGATTGGCAAAGTCAATAAAGTGAAAATAACTAACGCGGTAGTTATCCAATACAAATGCATGAATTTGAAATCGATAATAATGCTTGGACAAAGAAAAACAGTTGGTAATATGTATGCGCGAAAGTGATTGCGCGAGCCGTAACGGTTTTAAAACCACGCCGACGACGGCAAGATGATTTTCAGACTTGTTTCCACTGTTTCCATAATGAGGGGAAGTTCCCCTTTTGAGGGGAATTTAGACTTCAGAGGGGAAAGAGCTAGAGAGGGAAAATCGAGGGGAAAAATAAAAAAATCATTATACGAACATTATACTTTATTCTACACTTTTAATCGTGTTTAATCGTATCTTTTTTGCTTGACTGGCTGTGGCACTAGCTTGCACAAATTTCAAATGAGGTACTTCAAATTGGTTTTTCATTAATTGTACCGAGCGATACGGGAGTTCCCTTATAGAATGAGAAATTCCCCGAAACTCGAGTTTTACAATATTTATATAGATGACGCTAGGTCCAATTTTCATTCTGATTTATCTGGTAACCGAAAGAGGTCAGCACTAATTAATTAATATATTATCCAAGTTGTAAAGTTGGTTGCATAGAATAATTATATGGATTCAAAATTATGTTACAATTGACAATTATCATTTGTTTAATATAATGTTTAAAAAAAAAGATACAATTTGATACATCGCTTACAAGTGGCAACACTGTGTAACTAGAAATTACAATGATTTATTTTCGAGGGGAAAAAAGGGGAACTCAATTGAGGTGTGGTGGGGAATTAAAACCATGAAAGTGGAAACACTGCTTGTCTCACTCATCCTAACAACCACATCGACAATTGGGTATAAACCCACGCTCTAATGGCGACCAAATTATAAATGTTTTGAGTATGATATGCGTACATAGTGTAAATAATTAATAAAATGTAGTGTGGTGTTCATGATGTATAAATAAAGTGTTAAATGCAGATGTGCTTGTTTCTTTCTATCATTGATCGGTAACCCAAAGCCGGCACCTTGCAAAAACATGAAATTACAGTCCGCTTCAGAATCATATCATAGTGGAGCCTGTAAAAGGTAAGATCCTTACAGGCCTCATGACAATATGGTCAGGCCCGAAGAGGGGGACTGTTACACCCTACATCAATATACATATATAAAAAATAATTAGTATCAACTAATGCCAATAGAATAATAGACTGTTGTCGCATATGTGTGTCTTGTTTAGTTATTAGTGGTGTTACCAAATTCAGCAATTTATTAAATTATCTGCCATCCAGTCTCAAAAAATTTTTAAATTGCTCTGGGTTTACTTTTAAACTTCTTTTATTCTTTCCTTACTCCAAGGTCCCACCCACCACCTTCGTCTTTTTTTTTATTGCTTTTTTTTACAGAACATAATAGTAATATCTAAATAAATATATATGTCACTCTGACATAGTTATAAAAACGATAAAAATACTTAAATGAAAATACCAGGCTCAAGAACCTCAAAAAATAAACACGGATATCATAACCTCATAAAATGTAAAACTAACAATGTTGGTACTTCAAAATAAATGTTAAATACTCCTAAAAATCACTAAAATTGATCATACAACAAGTTTGTAATTGTTTCTTTAAAAACTAAGAATGAGGAATTTTTAATAATTATTTTATTGACAATTCTATGAATACTTTTAAATTAAGCATTGTTTGCGGTTATACTTCTTTTACATTCTTCAACGGAGTTTTTACATTTTTTTTTCCAGGACAAATTTTATGTGCCTTGACGCAACTTCTTCACATCTTTTGCATAGAGTTACAAAAAACAATCAAGACGGGCAACGAAATACAATAGAACAATAATTATTATTAATATAAGTATAGATGTCCGCCAGAGTTGTTAATTTGAATATTAGATTCTAATCTCACTCGGTGACAGAATAATCTTAATTTTTCAGTAAAACACCCATTCCAGCATTGTCAAAGAGTCAAACGGCCAAAGTGAGACTATTATATCACTGAGTGAGATTTAAATCTAATTTTCAAATGTACAACTCGGACTCCAAACATCTGTTGTGATAGCCGAGTTGGCAAGGCAGGGTGCCTAGAACGACAATGTATATGGTTCGAATACTTCCCGGGACAGAGTTTTCAATTTGTCAAAGGGATAATTTTGAAAAATTTATTTGAACATTTTCAAAGAATTATTAATTTGCTCCAAAAAAGAATTTAACTTGTACAAAGCGCTTTTTTGACTAGTCCCTTTGCCAATACTATTTTCTAAGTTTATCATAAAAATCTAGATATTTTACACTAAAAACGATTATTAATGGCCATGCACTAAATTGCACATTTTATTTTCCCCGCGAATCTATATTTATTATTATCTCTAACATCCGTGACGTGCGAATACTCATTTAAATTCCATCCGTTCCGAATATTTTTGTCCAATTTGAAGTTATGGGTTTCTTAACTCGTTAAGATATGAGAATATTAATTCTGGACACGTCAGTATCTTATTCCAACTTGGCCACGTGCCAAATGACTTAAATATCTTCTGTTTGTTTAGCGTTCCTAATCTACCATGCTACTTTGTATACACACGTATCAGACTACGACAATTGAGATCTGATAAGTTCATTGAGCTTTAAATTATTTTATATATGGAAAACAATGCAGGTTTCTTTATTTAGACATCTTTGAACACATTAGACAAGGACGCGCCATAGAAAAATAATTGTTTTTATTTATTTTATGCCTATTGATTGTCCTAAAGTAAAAGTGGTTCACAAAAATAAATTATAATTCCTAAAATTGTATATCTATCGTTTACGAATTATAAAATTTGTCAAATAAATAGTTTAAAATTTGTCTAGATGTTTCAATTGTTGGCAGTAAAATCTCGAAATATAATAATAAAATATAAAACCACTGCCAAGTACTTGTGGCTCAAAAATAAAAATTGCTAAATAATGTTTTTGTTATCGCAACTTTTAATCCACGCATGCGTTGCAGTCTATTTTAAGATTAAAGTAAATACAAAAAGTATGAGATTTGGTCAAATAAAGCGGTAAAAGAAGACATTAAACAGCTTCCAATTTGAATGCTACACGTTTTGATCTCAAATACAAAATACTCTGGGTATTAATCGAATAATCGTTTGTAAATGCTTCTAACCACCTTTACTTCTTCAATGCCGTTTACAATTTGAACTTCATAGTAATTTTGACTTTATGTATGGAAGAGCTATAACTTACAAGGGAACAAAAACATTCGGCCACTTATCTGGTCTTTTTATAGTAGATCTATTCCCAAACATTCTACATTCTAGTATTTAATAAGGAAAAAGGGAAACTCAAAGTCTTTACCACAGTGGAAAAATTTAAATGTATTGTTTAGGGCAACTAATTTCGGCCAATGGCCATCATCAAGTAAACATTATTGAAGATGAGAAATCTAAAAATATGTGTCCACTTTATATAGTTAATACCATCGACTATCGGTGGATTATGTTGGTTAGTAGAAGAATAAAGTGGCTTGAATCCGCGACGTCGGTAAAAACCAGTCAAAAGGAGAAAGCCTGTCTAACGAGGTGTATTTGTAGCAACCCTTTCATCTGTAGATTGGAGGGTGTAATGAATGATCATCCGACAAATTCCTAGGGAACTTCGAAGGGGCGATTCGCAGTCGAAAGAGGTTCCCGGACCAAAGGCAGACCCGTACCAATATTTTTCGGGTGGCGCTTCTTCGGGCTCCACGTACACATGGAGATGACTCGTATATAACAGTCTACAAACCTTGAAAGTGAATATTGTACATCATAAAAGTCCATTGATGTACAAAACCAAAAATCACGTAAAAACCACAATAGTATCGCACTTGTCGGAAGCAGAAAAATCAAACTTTAACGAAAACTTGTAATTATGTCAAACACTATTGAAGACGACGACTATTGAAGACTAGTATTTTTTTATAACAGTCCTTATTCATGGTACGACATATAAAAGCTCGATATCCGTAAGAAAATATTCACGTTGATTGCCGTACCTTTTTAGTTCAGCAGAGCTGAATATTTTCCAGGATCAGAACCGTTAACTCACGTATTATGACATACAAGAAGTTTGGATCTGAAGATACACGGCCCTATTACTCTAACGAACTGTATACATCGACTGATTTTATTTGGTTCGATCGTCAAACTGCTTGAATCAAATTTCTGACGCATGTTTAAATCCGTGGTTAAAACTGAATGAGATACGGAGATCACCAATTATTTTATAAATGTTTAAATCTTCTATTTGCTCGAATCTTTTTAGACATTTTAAATCACTTTCGGAATCGCTCAAATTATTTGTACGCAACCTTAGGGTTGCTTCAAACTGCTTTAAATTTTGATCATCAAATTATTTGCAACCGTAGAAATTAAGTAAGATTAGGTTGAAAATTAGTAGGACGATCTCACTGTCTAACTTATAGTTCACCGTATAAGCCACACCATTTGATGAAGGCCATGATTGAATTGGGTGAGTCTTGTTTAAAGATGGTAGGCTCCAGTCAGGTGAATCTCCAATTTGGAACCTAGTTCTTTCCAAAGTGGACCAGGTACATAGAATGTGTTCTGTGGATTCATCTTTTACACTGCTGAATCGTCGAAAATGTTCTGTCATCAGTCCCGTGAAAACGCGTAGATCGTTCCTACTTCAATTCCGGATCTGAACAGAAGGGTTCATGGAAAGGTTGGTTATAAACGCCCTTCGAATGAGTTAGCCCTTTCCAGTTTATTTTGAGATAATTCCTTTGGCAGAGTGCTCTTTTCAATGACCAATAATGTTTCTAGTCCTATGAACTCAGATTCGGTTCCTCTTTTAGCAAACGTGTTTCATTGTCCTTCACACAGCAGAGGTTCAAGAGTTAATTCCTAAATTTCCTTAAATATCATTAAATTTTTCATCAGCACCTATGCATCTATAATCGAATATCGCCAATAATTTAAAGTTAAAATTAGTTTTTTATTTTTTTCATCGTTTTCTTCATTCTTATTACTTGATGATATCTATTCATTAGTTTTATTTGCAATTAATAATTTTAATGGTTCTTGGACGTTGAACTTCTATACTTATTTGTATGAAATTACAGTGACGATCGTCATTTCAATTAAACAAACCTCGATATACACAAAATTTTAGTAACACTCGAAGTGGTAGATCAGTACCATCAACAGAAATGGCGCTTTTGGTTTTGTAAAATTATTTTAGATATACAAATATATTTTTTTTTTGAACCGCTCCAGTCTGGAATATACAGGGTATCCGGAAATTACGTGTACATGGATCTATCACAGATTTATGCGCTTAAAATAAGTTGATTTAACCAAACTTGCTTCCTTTGGCTGCTAGAGGTTAATCTGTATCTGCAACGTGTAGAGCGTGGGTTACCCCACGGCACTTAGGCTTCATTAGGCTCATTGTGCATCCTCCCAAGATGAAAGGCACCTCCTAGCTCGTAAGCTAGCCTACAGATTTAATGTAGTTGACAACGTCGCCAAAAGCTGCTTCTCTTATAATATATCAGCGGGTGTTAGCGGATAATCGCCAAATACAAATTTAATAAACGAGAGCGTCGAGCAATAGTAGAGGATATGCTCGATGATCTCATCTGCTTGTTCGCACCTACTGAGAGCCCCATGTGATGCAAAGGATTATTCACTGGGCCCCGCTTCACCCTCTTTTTCGACAGCGAATGTTGTTCCTTCCTATGTTTTTAAGATTGGTACCTTGGTTTTTAGCCATTCCAACGTCAGGTCATCGTCGTACGTTACTCTGATGATTTCACCAGAGGTCTCCAAGCCCTGAATGTGGGTGACTTGGTTTTGTTTCAGAAGTCGGACCAAATTGTTTTGTCCAGCTCTCCCATCAGTGTCTTTTTGACAAGGATATCTCTTTTGTTTAGTTTGGAGTGAGGGCGTTTGGTGAGGGCAGTGTTTGCCGTAGCTTTTCCTGTCTGCAGCTTATCCCTCTTCCTACTCTTGCTTAACAAAGTTAAATAAATATATGTTGTTTTCTTTAATCTCCAAGATTTAGCCATTTTAAAAGATCAAACCGGGGAGGGTAACTGTTCTCTATTTTTTGACATTTCTGGCATTCAAATAGGAAACTATGGAGTTTTTAGTCAAAAAAATTGCTTTTGTTCGATATCGCCATGATGTAGCCTTTTGGAAAAAGAAATTGATTTATCCTTTTCATATTGCCATTATTGTACTTAGTAATATGAAAGTGGTATCATGAAATAATTAAAGTTTTGGTGCCTTCAACACCTAAAAATTCCTACCAATATAATAGCAAAACCCATCTTTTTAGCAAAGATTTTGCTTCTACCTAGAGTTGCCAGTTTGGTCATGAGATAAGTCACATGTAGCAGGATCTTTAACTGAGGGTCCGTACCTCTATCGAAACAAACCAATCACACTGTCGACTACCTAATTTAAAATACGCAGGCCTATTACCCTACATTTAAAATATAGTTTCTACTACTTATAACAAATTCGATCAAATGTTTATTGGTCCAGTAAAAAATTAATGTTCGGACAGGTCGATTTAATTTTTTTGATGAGCATAGTTGACACTATCACTTTTCAAAATATGGCGTAATCACCTCTTATTTAAATATAGCACCACCATTTTTTGCAATTGTCTTTTTAAAATAGTGACATTCAAAAGAGTACAAAAGTTTGTTGTCTTGTTACATGACAATATTATCGAAATAAAAAGTTTTAGTATTCAACAATGTAATGAAATAAACTTAGAATTTAATAATAAAAACATTTTCATCTCTTGAAAATAATGTGCTGTAACAAATAGGGTGCATATATTCAAAAATATACTCTTTTAAATGGGCTATTTTGAAAACTGGCGATAACGTCATAATTCGGTAAATGATGACATCATCAAAAACATACGTACACTAAAATATGTGCATATAAAAAACAAAATCGAACTGTCCAAGCATTATTTTTTTTTACTTGACCAATTTGTTCCAACCTTTATTATTTACTGTATGTGAACTTACTATAGATTACTACTATGTTATTCATAGGAATAGTTCAGAATATTTTATTCTTCATTTGTTTTCTGTACTAACGTGGAATTATTAATTTTAATTCCATATACTTTATTAATTATTTATTATTTTCAGGTTCACGCTAAACACGAAGAAAAAACAGAATCAAAATCCGTATACAGAGAGTACAATAGGGAATTCTTATTACCCAAAGGAACAAACCCTGAACAAATTAAGAGCTCACTGAGCAAAGATGGCGTCCTCACCGTCGAAGCTCCCCTTCCCGCTATTACTGCAGGAGAAAAATTGATTCCAATTCAACATTAAGTTATTTTTTTTAATTGTTTATTTAACATCTGTTCACAAAGCTTTGTTATGCAAAAAAATGTGAAAATTTTGTAAAAACCATTCATATTTAACAACTTGTTTATAAAAAAAAAAATTGATGCTAACATATTGTTTTGTTAAACTTTTGTCATGGTCGATGGTTCGGTGTTCAATAACCAGCAAATTTCACCGTAGTGTAACAAATTGTCTCATTTGTAGATTATTTATAAATAAATTATTTTTAATCTCGTACTTTTGTTCTTTTATTTATTACTTTTGTCATATGTTACTTATTCATATCAAGCTAGAAGTACAAAATTATTGTGTCTTACAAGATATATAAGTAGTGCGTATTATTACCAATATAATGTAATATTTTGTTAAAATAAAATTAAACGCTTTCTTTCAAATTCTTTTTACTTCTCTATTAAATAAAACCGTTTCAAAAATATTTTACCATTGTGACATTAACGTTCGTCTATCTGAAAAATGTACAGAGCTGGGTAGTACTGGGTAGTACTCAGTACAGTCCATCAAATTTCTAGAGGCTTTCGACGGCTAGACAGAGAAAGAACTACTGACAGGCATCCCGACGGATTTACGCAATGAAAGTACACTCTGCGCATCAAGTATTTCACTATTTCATTCAGACGTAAATGTCAGATGTAAATTTCGCTAAAACATTTCTTTTATTTTCGTTTGTCTTTTGCTCATTACAGTTTAATAGAACCTAAGTATGGAGTTTAATAGCAAATTAAGAGGCCGCGTGATTAACAGTCAATCTCGCGAAATAATAGCCAATATTATAGAGTTTATGAGAAGAGAAGGAAACTTTAATTCACCTTCAATACCATTTAAAAATGTAAATGATCGTGTTGCTGCAGCCACAGGAGTCTCTAAAAACACTGTCGTCCGCATTTCTGGAGAGAAAGAAAGAATCGATAACCGTGAGATATCGGAATTTTCATCACCAAGAAAAACCACTAAAAAACCAAAAACAGTTAATGATATAGATGAAGCTGCACAAGAATCAAATTTTATTTTTTTATTATTAGATAGCTATTTTTGTTTCTGAGTTGTGTTCATTTACAGGCTCAATTTTTTTCCGTTTCTCTTTTTTGATTTTATATGGGGTTTCAAGTTGTTTTTGACTTATTTCGACGTAAATCACAACAACACACTTTTTTAATAAAGCAAACAAGTGTTAAGAGGTATATGTACGTGTAAACTACAATTACAAAAAATTGATATGAAACCCATGAAACCACCAACAAAAATGTAAAGCTAGCTTCCGTACTAGAACATGGTGTCATTCGTCGAGATAATTTATCGTTTTGTTTAATAGATCAAGAAATGTAAATATTCCCCTGTTATTTTTTATAAAATTATAAGAGAAATAAATTTTTTTCTAAATAGTATAGTTTATTATTTTGTAGAAAAACAAAATTTCGAAAATTTTAGTAATGTTTCAGAAACAACCGTTATTAATAATAGGTACCATTTTCCTTAATAAGGTAGAAATAAAATATAAACTATTTCCACGATTTACAAAGGCCTACAAAAAAATTATAGGTATTTTCCGCTATCCTATAAAATTTATATTTTCTGACTCAATTTCAAAAGGTTGAAGGAATTCCAAAACACCTTTTATGGCATAATAATTATTTTCAATTCTACATACTATCTTTAGCTGCTTTTAAAAACGTTCTAAGAAAGTCCAATCGGACCAATTTAATCCCTAAACTATTCCACACTTTTAAAATTTAATTACCTAAAAATATTAAAAACTATTTAAAATAACTTGTTTAACAGACTGTACAATAGCTATCTTAGTCACACGTAGCGCGTTCTCTGTCTGGGCCTCAATTCTCGACTTTTTTTTCCCATGGGGAAAAGATAATTTTCCTATGGGAATTTATATTTTGTATTCTCGACACATCCACTAGGAATATTTTCTCACGAAAAGTATGGGAGCAAATACACCTGGTATTTGGCATGGGAAATCAAATTTCCAATGGGAATCTGTCACCGGTGACATTTGCTAGTTACTTCAAATAATAATATTTATATATTATTATTACTAATATACCTTTCCTAAAATGGATGAAGCTATTTTACTTTCCCAATTAAACAATATAGAAGAGGCAGAAAGAAGAGCAATTAATGTCCCAAGAGATTTTTGGTCTAAGTGGAAAAATGAGGCAGGGGATCCCTTTGAATCCTTAAATGATAGACAATTTCTCAAATATGATCAACGCAAGTTTTCTAGAATAAGCAATCCCAGAATAAATTTTGTTTCATTAATATGAATAGGCTATTTCAGAATAAATTTTGTTTTATTACGCAAAATAAATAGCGACTGTTAATAACATAATGAGATGTTAAAAAACTTGAAGCTAAAATATTGATCACTCTTAAATATCCTTAAAATTCCTCTGTTTCTGCTATTTCTTCCAAGGCACAAACAAGTTATTCGTTCTTTTGCCAAAACATTTCTCTCTAATAACTTGAATTTTTTGTCATAATAATTTTCTTTATTAAAGTTTTTATTTTGTAACATGCGTTCAATATTTCGGCTAGTATTCAAGGTTTTACTTAACCCTGTAGCAGCTACTCTTCGTTTGGGCTTTATTGTGCCCCTTGTACTAGGTTCAGCACATGATATATTTTCACGTTATTTTCTAAAAAAATCCGTCGAAAACTCGAGGTCGAAAAAAATCATGATTCCTATACTTTCCTTATATCTGTATACAGATAGGAAAGTAAAAAGGGGGTTGATTGTTTTCTCTGACAAGATGGCAAGTGGCAAAACAATTAGGCATTCCAAACAAATGAATTACCAGTGGGCAGGTTTGGTATACCTAAGGGTGCCGACATATTGTGTATTCTATCTACTTTACGTAAAATCATGAATAATGGGTTACATTTAAATATTTTATGTCAAACACAATAAAAATAATATTTAAAAAACCCACCTATACATTTCTTCATAAATTGGCAGGCTTGGCGAGTACTACTTCGAATAAAAATAGCGTCCAAGTTGCAAGACTATGTCGCTACCCCCTTAAATATACAAGAATTTCCCACTGGCACCTATTGTTTGACAGGTCGTTGGAATGCCTAATAGTCAAAAGTTGACGATATAATCAATGATCCCAACATTACTACTTGAAAGTATTGAAATATAATATTAATTATGATTGGTCAGTTTCCAATATTTACATACTTAATACCCGACATACGTTAGACATACGAATAATCGAAATTCCCATAGTAAAAAGGTTCCTAACCTAGTCGAGAATACCATTTTATAATACCACTGGAATATAAGCATGGGAATATTTATCCATGGGAAAATTTTCCGGTGAAGTCGAGAATTGAGGCCCTGGGCGTCGAACACCTCTAGAAATTTGATGAACTGTAATTGGTACTCGTAAGTATTTTTATCATGAAAGGACTCATACTCGAAAAATTTCGAGTACTTTACATTTTAGAGTACCTAGTACTCTAATTACTACAGCTGCCGAGTAATGAGAACATGTAACAATAAATGGTTTTCACTCCGAAAGGGTTAAACTTTTAGGGTTGTGGTTCCTTCAGCTTCCTACAAAAATTTCAAAAAAAATAACTAAAAATTCCACTAATCCATAAATATTGAATTTAAAAAAAATCTAAATCTTCCGATCTCTTCATTCCTCTTGCTCCTGGTTCTTCTGATTTCCTGCCTTGGGCTCGATTCTCGAGATTATTGGAAAATTTTCCCATGGGAAAATATTCCACTACTTATATTCCCATGGTAATAGGTTATGCAATTCTCGAACGTGTCGGAATAGACATTCCCATGGAAATAGTAGTTTCACGTATGTCTGATATTAAGTCCACGAATATTTCGAAACAACCAATAACATTAAAGATATTTTAAAATTTACTGTTGGCATTATTTGTATTTGTTGTGGTTCGCGTGGTCTTTCGTCAAATTTTCGACTTTAATGCGCAAACTCTAGTACAATTCCCATTGGAAAACACAATTTCCAATGCTCGTAAGCAGGGGAATATTTTCTCATACTTCTCATTGGAAAATATTCCACCGATTATGTCGAGAATACGAAAACTGAATTCCCATGGGAAAATTTTATTTTCCCATGGGAATAAAAGTCGAGGATTGACCCTATAGGAATTTGTGACACTTTCCTATATATAGGAAAATGTCATAAATTTTCGATGTATATAAAAATGTCAAAAATTCCTATAGGAAAATATTCCTACGAGTCGAGAATCGACCCCCAAGGTCTCCTCTTTCTACTAAACTTTCGTTCCTGCTATTCGTTTCACACTTATCTTCAATTTAAATAATACTTTCTTTATCTTTCTGTTTTGTAACACCCTACTATTACGACAACCCAATATACACATGTGTATATAAAGTTGCCTACCCTTGGACATCATTCCAATGAACTGGAGTGGGGTAGAAAGCTAATGTGTATTCGCTCCGTGCGCGACCGCAGCGCCAATTCGTTTTGGTATTAATGGACTATTTCTGTGTATACTGACAAATACAATTTTTAATAGAATTCGTAATTAAAAAGTATATATGTTAGTTTTAATAAAAGTATATGGATTTGTAAAACAAGTAAAACATTAATTTATTATTATTATATATTTTTAACGCTTAAATTAAGGAAAATTATGTATAATCAATGAAAATCAATAATAAAATATAGGCAGGCAACAGTATTTACTGGAAAATGTATGAGAAGTTGCCTAAGTCTAATAAATTGTCATTGAAGAATTAACCTGTTGTCAAAATAAAAAAATACCATTTAATAATAGCATGAAGTTAAAATGTATAAAAAAGGATCGCTATTTATATTTTTATTTTTGTTCGAAAGAAAACATAGAATCAATGATTAAAACTGGTTTCTCATCAGTAAGTCACAAAATTACATTCCATCCACATATAATAATCGAAGGCAGAAATCTTGAAATCTAGTCCTTGAAGAATAAAAGGACATTAAAGAACATCGTAAAATGATAATTTATTGTTTATTTAAAACCTTTCAAGTTTCTGATGTCTACTATTTACAGCATTACTGTTATTATTACAAAAATACAGGTAATTTTTCTTCTTATTGTATATCTATCCATTTTATTCTTTCATTTAATTTCCACTTTGCTACTGACATTTTTTATATAAGATTCACTGTTTTTTATTGCTAGTATTTGTACAATTGTCAACACAGCAACTCCGGTTGCTTATTGTATTGTCTGTACCTACTTTTTTGAAAAATAGTAAAATGTATACGTGTATTTGATATGCCAAAATTACAAAATATCGCCCTAAAATACACGAATTATCCGCAGCTAGCGCTAGTATCGCTTTTGCTTCCCTTTCCATGACTTCGCACG